ACACACACACACACGAAGGGAAGGGGGGGGGCTCAGGACCTTACAATAATGATTGTTCTTTGGATCAAAGTTATACCAATCTGCAATACATTCATTTTTAATCCTACAGGAGGATCTAGTCACTGGTCCCTCAGATACCCACACACGAGTTCCTTTAAAGTCAATGCACTGAGAATTGAAGACAAGTATCGCAGGGCAGAATTGACCCATAGCTAAAGTTAAAAATATTTGATTACTGCACATTTAGAATTTACCTAAATGCCATTTAAGATTAATGCTGCCAAATACAAGACATGCTATTGTGAATCACGGAAGACATTTGGCAGGGCTGGAGGAGTGCATCTGACATGTTTATGTAACCACGCGCACAAATCTCGAATTACTAGTATGCAAGGACTGCATGTCTGAAGTGGGACGTAACAGTATAATTTTGACTATCAGGACAAATGAAAATATAAATAAAATTAAAGGACTAAGTCATTATTCCCTGAAAACTAATGGATTTAGAAAGCTTGATGCCATTTAAAATGGGCTTCCAACTTAACTACTTAATCTCATGATTGAAAACTGCACCTCAGCTCATAATTTTATAAAACACACAGGTAATTCCCAAAACATTTATCAAATAAACAGTTCAACAAAAATGCAAAATTAATCCCATTAAACAATAAGTTACAGTAGTATGACGACATTTTGGCTTCTTTAGTGTGGTTACACACCTTTCTTTTGTTATCCTGCTGAAAGATCGCTACAGCATCCAGTTTACGTTTCTGAAAGTTAATGAGATGTCTGTGACTATAAAACTCTGCTTGCTACAAGCAAATGTCTTGTTTGTTTCAGTTGGTCACAGAATATATGTAGACAGCCATTTCTGGCCCCAAATAAATATTTATATAGTATTCTTGCAAGTTCAAGTATGATTAGGCAGGCTCACACAGAAAACTCAGGTCCCCCTTTCTTTGCTCTCAGCAAAAGTTGCCTGATTCGAAATCCTGCAAAAGGATTGATCCACAGGAGTGAAGGTTGGCCCCCAAAGACAGATTTCATCCCTTCCCAACGTAGTCTCCTCTCCCATGTTGGCTTTTCACTTTTAAGCCTCTCAATCTCCTGCACATAAATTAAAACAAACAGTTATACACTTAACAGCCAGCAGGGTGGATTGATTTAAATCAAGACATAGATAGGAAACCCTGATTTAAATCATCAATTTTAACAGTGTTTTGCATCTGTACTTTATTTTCCTAAAGAAAGGTTAATTCTCATTAGTACCACTCAGACTACGAAGCTCTTCAATTATGTATGCATTATGCATACACGCAGACTAACCTGATACATGCACACACACCTCTGGTCACTATAGAACATTAAAAAATCTTAAACAAATTGAATGGCAACATGGAATATCTGGTTAAACAAAGTTCTGGATTAAAAGGGAGCATCATTACTGTACTAATATCAGATTCAGAGTGTGAACAACTCAAATTCCGGCAGTCGAAATGTTACATCTGGATGTCTAGTAACAGTACAGTGCACTTCTATATTAAGGGGTACAAGTGAAGATGCTGTTAGCCAAGACCTGCAAGGACTAAGTGTCTTGCATTACTCTCCAGCAAACCTTTAAAGCTGAATGGAAGACCAGCACCATGATTTGAAGAAACAACTCCACCCAGCCCTCCCCACTACGGAATGGCCAGAATTGGGGGATCCCACAAGACTTTTTCCTGTCCCCCTTCAAAGAGAGAAGTGGGGTCTAAACTAGAAATCGTGACAAAACCTGTGCAGCAATGCAATCAGGCACCAAACTGGAATGTGTGAAACAAATTAGTGCTATTTTTTTCTAAGAAAGAAATCAGAATGATTCATTGAACCGTGGGGCAATGCGGCACAAAGTAAGTATTTAAAGCTTGCTGAATACATTGCATATTTAGTAAATAGTATTCCTTGAGAAGCGAAACACTAAGCACCACAAAAAGCTAAAATGAACACTAGCGGCACCGCATGCTAGGGAGCTGTACTAATAAAAAGCTGTTAACTACAATTATTGAATCTATCAAAAATAAAATAAAACGTCCACTGAGAATCTCAACTCAAATCAGATCATTTACAGTCCTCACTTCCCACTAAGGCCAGCGGAACATGTACCATTTGTTTTCCCTTTTGCAAAGCATACAGCTCTTCAATATCTAAGGGCAACATTTGCAAAGCAGCATCAGCTGAGAAAATTCAGAATGCCACTGTGAACTCAACTCCCTTACATCTTCAGTCAATGACTCACATTGGATGACATTCTTCCAATGTTTACACTGGGATTTGGGGAGGAAAATGAATTAACACCAAGTATCGGCCAGTACATTATTTCAGTGCAGTAAAAAAGGTGCAAAAAAGCACATTGCTAATCCCAGATTAGGCACATCATGTATACTTTTGGTGACAATCTAAGAATTATGAAAATTCCACCCATAAGTGAAGTAATTTAGGAGCGCAAGCCCCACTGAAAGACAATGCAACTTGTTCTAAAAGCCTTTGAAAGTCTCACCCTACCGCATCATGTAGGGGGAGGCAGTACTAAGGGTACGTCTACATTACCCGCTGGATCGGCGGGTAGCGATCAATTTATCGGGGATCGATTTATCGCGTGTAATGTAGACGCGATAAAAATCAATCCCCGACTGCTCTCCCGTCGACTGCTGAACTCCAGCTTGGCGAGAGGAGGAAGCAAAGTCGATGGGGGAGCGGCAGCCGTCGATCCTGCGCAGCAAGGACCCAAAGTAAGTGATTCTAAGCCGATCTAAGATACGTCGACTACAACTATGCTATTCTCGTAGCTGAAGTTGCGTATCTTAGATCGATCTTCGCCCCCTAGTGTAGACCAGGCCTTAAGGAGAACACATTTGTTACACATCTGCTCTTTAGCAAAAACAAATAATTATTTCTGATTCTCCCAGTAGCAGGGAAAATAAAAGATATGTGTTTATGATTTGAATATTTTCACCATCATAAAAGCCCCTCTATTGTAGGCAAATAAAGCTGTATCTAGTCAAGTCTTATATTAGAATTATTACACCAAGCAAGGGAAGTAGGTTTTACCGTTTCATCATTGCATATTGAGTGGATTTGGGTGCCAAACATAACAGCAGTGAAAGTGAGAAACAGAAAACCCTCAAGGCACAAAAAGACCATCAGGATCACAGTTACAGGCGGGGAGAAGTCACTGCATTCTGTGAAAAGAATAAACTTAATTATGAAAAATATCACACCAAGAACCCATGCAAATAGCAACTCCAAAGCAGTGTGCCTCCTCTTCAACACAAAGTGATAAAATATGTTTGTATTTATTTTACAATGTCTAAATCAGCTCAACCCCAGATTTTGCAAATCTTTTACTGTCCATCCCACAGGCTGTACAGTTCTAGACAACTCAGTTTATTAGACAAGTAAATGCTAATTCGAAAGCGACTGCAGTCCTGCCTGGACAGGTTCCCCTAAAGATGAGCCATGCATATTCCAAACTGCATTATAATATGCAAAAAATGAAATAAAGAGATGTGTGTATGAAAGACTGAAGTAAGGCATTTTTTGTTTGAATACCCTCACCCAGGACTCAATGAATTAAGCCCCTTACTTGGTCCTAAGACTTCCCCCAGTATTGAGACCCTTATGAAATGCTGCCCCACCTATGCTCTAGAGCCCATCTCTAGTTGTTATTATTCAAGGTGACTCTTGAGCCCCTCATCCACATGCCTTCCCTGGTATTTACAGCAATGATCCTCCATCCCCTTGCATTAAGGACTTGATATTCCTTCAGCCATATAACTCTCCCCATGATCTTGACAGCCCAGCGAGCTCTGGTGCACCAAAACATTGCCTTGAAATATACTAATAAGCACAAGAAAGCATGGAGGAATTAGCTAATTTCAACTATGTACCACACAAGAAAATAAGATGGCAAAAGAATATTCATGGCACTTTGTGTTAAACAGTTGAAACACTTGTAAACATTTTATGATTTTTTATTTATAAACACTGCTTGGTTATGGTGGTAGAAGTAAACGCATGCTTACCAGTCCACTGTCCTCGGACACAAGAGAAAAACTGAAACCCACACAGAATGAGTGCATGAGCTGAAATTAGGGCTATATACATCTGGAAATAAATAGAAATTTGCTTAGTCTTGATCATTTTGTCAGTCAGTAAAGCAAACATTCCTTGCAGCCAATTTTTATTGTTAGGAAATTATATGCTTGGGTGCAGTATCATTTATTAATTGGATAAAATGGAGTAAAACCAACTCCAGCAAAGTTCAAATAAAAAAATCTCAGCAAGTACAACGATGTACACTAATTTATTACTCTTTGGATCACATTACAATTACAAAAGTTATAAAGTGGAAAAAAAGGGTTACTAACCTTTCTGTAACTGTTGTTCTTTGAGAGGTGTTGCTCACGTCCATTCCATATTAGGTATGTATGCATGCCAAGTCTGCCACTGCTGGAGATTTCCTCTCAGTGGTATCAGTCAGGCTGGCTCTAGCGCTCTCTGGAGCAGTGCACATATGCACCAGTATAAGGGGCGCCACCGGTCCCACATCCTCTCACTTCTTTCTTACTGGCCAACTCCAACAGAGGAATAGGAAGGTGGGTCGTGGAATGGACATGAGAGATACATCTCAAAGAACAGTTACGGAAAGGATAGTAACCATTTTTATTTCTTTGAGTGCTTGCTCATGTCCATTCCATGTTAGGTGCCTCACAAGCAGTACCTCAAGAAGCGGGCTCAGAGTTCAGGGACATGCTGACTGCAGCACTGCTCTTCCAAACCTGGAGTCATCTCAAGCCTTTTGGGCGATGGCATAGTGGGTTGCAAAGGCACGAACCAACGACCAAGTTGCAGCCCTTCAGAGGTCTTGGATTGGAACCTGCAGGAAGAATGCCTCTGAAGAGGACTGAGCTCTCGTGGAGTGAGTGATTAGGGTCGCCGGAGATGGGACATTCGCCAGTTCGTAGCATGCCGGAATACAGGAGGTTATCCAGGATGAGATCCTCTGAGCTGACACTGGAAGTCCTTTCATCCTTTCTGCTACTGCTACAAAGAGTCGTATGGATTTGTGAAAGAATTTAGTCCACTTGCTATAGAAGGTGAGGGCACGCTTAACATCCAGTGAGAGAAGCTGCCACTCTTCTGAATTCTGGTGAGGCTTTGGGGGAAAGACTGGCAGAAAAAATGGCCTGGTTGCTATGGGATTGTGAAACCAGCTTTGGCAAGAAGGCCAGGTGGGGTCATAGTTGGACTCTGCCGTTGAAGAACACGGTGTGTAGAGGCTCTGACGCAAGGGCCTTGATTTCAGAGACCCTTCTGGTTGAGGTGATCACTACCAGGAATGCGACCTTACAGGAAAGAAGTAGCAGAGGGCATGATGTTAGCATCTCAAAGAGAGGACCCATGAGTCTCAAAAGGACCAAGTTTAAGACCCACAGGGGAATCAGCTAGTGAACTTGTGGGTACAATTCCTTAAGAAAGCAGTGTCATCTTGTGAGAGAACACTGATCTTCCGCCCACCGGTGGGTGGAAGGCCAAAATTGCTCCTAGATGCGGGAGCCAGACCTTGTTGCTTTAGATGGAGCAAGTAGTACAGGGTGGACGCAAGGGAAGACTGAGTCGGAGAGACACCTCGATGGGATGACCATATCAAGAACCGCTTCCATTTGGCGAGGTAGGTAGCCCTAGTGGATGGCTTCCTACTGCCCAGCAAGACCTGTTGAACTTATTCCGAACAGGCCTGCTCCTCTGGGTTTAGCCATGCAACTTCCATGCAGCTAGGTGAAGGGAGCTGAGGTTCAGGTGGAGTAACCAACCGTGGTCTTATGAGAAGAGGTGTGGGAGGAGCGGGAGCAGCGTGCCAAGCCAGTGCTGGCACGGTCACACCGGGGCTATAAGAATAACTCTTGCCTCGTCAAGCTTGATCTTTAGGAGGACCTTGTGAACCAGAGGAACCGGAAAAAATACGCAGAATAGTAGCTCTGTCCATGGAAGCAGGAAAACAACGGCGAGGGAGCCCGGACTGTGCCCACGCAACAGGCAAAACTGTTGGCATTTTCTATTCTGCTTGGTTACGAACAGGTCTACCTGGGGAAGTCCCCCTCCCCTTGGAAGATGAACCTGGTGACCTCTGGGAAAAGGGACCATTTGTGGTGAAAGAAGAAGGATCTGCTGAGGTGATCCACCAAGGTGTTCTACAGGCTCCCGGAAGATGTAAAGCCTTGAGGCGTGTGGAGTACTTCACGCAGAATTTCCATAGACAGATGGCCTTCTGACACAATGCAGAGGATCGGGCTCCTCCGTTTGTTGATGTAGAACACAGCCATGGTGTTGTCCATCAGTATCTGCACTACCTTTCCTGGGATCTGTGGGAGGAACACTAGGTGGACTCCCCAACCTAGGTTGGAAGCATCCAAGACTAGAGGTGGAGGGCAGAGAAGAAGAGTTTGCCACAGGGCCCTGACCATACCCATTACAGCCTCATTAATGGACAGGGCAACCTCAGAAGGAGCTGCTGCAGCCAGAATGTCAACAAGGATGTGGGATGGTTCTTTGAGTTCCTCAATCTCTAGCTCCAGGATAGCGGCTATGTGCTTTTGACGCTCCTGATGAGTCCTGAAGTCAGCTTGTGGAAGCAAGATATTCAGCCCTGAGACGGCCTCATCTGAGGAGGAGGAGGAAGAGGCTTGTACCAGAGGGAGGTGTTTTTTTTCTCTTCCTCAGCCTCAACAACATCCATGGGGACTACATCCTGAATATGGGTATTGGGGTTGGTACCGGAATTGGGGTTCGATGCCGAGCAGGATGGAGCGGAACCCCACCTCTCAGAAGCAACTGAGTAAGATCGGCGGGAAGGTGGACCCAGTACTGGGGGAAACTCACAAGGATTCCAGTACGACCATTGCATAGGCCACTGTTCACTTGGCCATGCACCGGTGGGAGGACCCATAGCAAGGTCGGGTGGTACACAGGATGGGTTCCGGTGTGGTGGCCCTTAGGCTGGACATATGGTTCTACCTCAGACTCAGATGAAGAACCCTCCTGAAGTGACCATGGTGGAGCGGTACCCTCTCAGCCTCCATTCAATGCTAAGGGTCCAAAGACCGGTGGCGGACAGGAGAGTTTCCCAAACTCTTCAGACAATTGTTCATGGACATAGGCTTGCCACTAGAGGCACCGGGTTTGAAACCCGTGGACCGGGCATGCCTGGCCCCAGGGACGAAGAAAGCCCCTTGATGATAAGGAGACTGGAGTTCTAACTATTTACACTAGCGCTATTTACAATATATACACTACAACTATACTTAAGACAAACTATGAAACAGTGTAAGAAACCACTGAGAAGAATGCCTTGCCGAAGCAAGAGTTGTTCCAGCAACTGTCTCAGGCCGTAAGAAGGAACTGAGGAGGGTGCGGTGTTGGTGGTGCCCCTATACCGGTGCATAAGCGCGTGGGTCCAGAGAGCGCTAGAGCTGGCCCGACGGATACCACTGAGGTAAAAATCTCCAGCAGTGGTGCACACGGCGTACACATATCTAACATGGAATGGACATGAGCAAGCACTCGAAGAACTAATGGATTTTGAGTCATTGAAAAACTGGACTCAAACACTGATTAAAACAAGCATGGCTAATATCTACTAATAGCCTCTCCAAGGCAGGGGAGAAATTAGGGGAAGGAGAAGGGCAGTGGTACTCTTCCAAGGTCTGCCCATGTGAGTTGCCATTCAGCCTGTTGTGCAGATGCTCAAAATATGGTTGCATTCTGAACTCAATTCCTTAGTGCCTTGGACTTATGTCCCCCTCAGTGGGTCTCAGATTCCAAACTGGGCTCTACCAGGCTCCTTCTTGTGTGAAGGAAAGTGCTGCCCTCTCCTAAGCAACACTCACTTGTGGCACCAAAAGGAGAAGTCACTCACTGTGAATGGTGCAGACATAGGTATGCTCCCTGTCCTTTCTTACATGAGGAATTAAATTGTTAACAATGACATTTAAAATCACCACCGGGCATCTCAGAGCTATTGTTCAAGGCTTACTTCAGACTCTTGTAGCTATCACAATCAGTTCACATTTGAGGTTCTCTTTGCCACCCTAAACAGACTTTTTAAAATGAAAATTAACATTCCGCAGAAGAAGACTGCAGTTGGAGCGAGGTACCAGCATATTATATCAGCCTGATCCAAGTCCTGCCCCCAGGCATATAATTATGTCACATTGTAAACTTTAAAAACTAGTAACATACTATGTTGTATAATACCAGATACTGCAAACAGTGAAATGGTATAATGCTGCACATCCAGGGTATGTATTCTTGAGGGAATTCTGCACCACGATGCCCGCACAGAATACATATGTCCCACAGATTTTTTTTTTCCTGCAGACAATAGATTCTGCTGGAGAGGCTCTGCAGTTATGCCTGTTGCCCACCAGGGGCTGCTGTGGCACCAGAACGGCGGCAGCCAGCTGACTGCTCATCTGCCTAGTGGTCAGCAGCTGACAGGGAGAGAGCAAAAGCTGCGTTCCTCACAGAGCCCTGCCCAGGCCCGGCTCCAGCGTTTTTGCCGCTCCAAGACGGAAAAAAAAAGACCACGATCAGCACTTCGGCAGCAGCTCTACTGCCGCCGCTTCATTCTTCGGCGGCAAATTCAGCGGCGGGTCCTTCCCTCCAAAAGGGACTGAGGGACCCACCGCCGAATTGCCACCGAAGAGCCGGACGTGCCCCTTTCCGTTGGGTACAAAACTGTTCCATACTTCTCCCACCCACACCCAACAACCCTCCAGGTTCATTCCCAGGCTTCTTCCCAGCAATTACTTCCCTCTCCCTCAGCTCCTTCATTACCCTGGATTCCTTCAAGCCTCTGCACTGCTTCTGAGGGTGTGGGAAATACGGTTCTGTATTGTAGTTCATATGACTGATTATTCAAAATTCTGTATTAATATGCTTAGTAAGGAATCTACTTGTCAAAAAACATTTCCTGAATCTTTTTTTTGTTATCTATATTGTTAGAGACATACTTGTTAACAGGTATTTTGAAATAAATTATCAAAATAATTGAAACTGGCTTGATTATATTGTGCTATTTTGTCAAATAAAAATTTTGCGTATATTTAATTTTTTGGTGCAGAAATCCCCCAAAAGTAAGGGTATGGCTAAATAGCGAGCAATTTAATCCTGGGGTAAGTATGTGAAAAGTTGTTACCTATAGTTAACAATTTTCATATTTAGAACAATTTGTTGGTAATCTGTACTCACCGTAAACAGCACGAAAAACCTCTGGTTTTTCTCTCCTACACAATTATTCACCCAGGGACAGTGATGATCCATCTTTCGAATACATCGCTTGCAAATACTTGGAGGGGGGAAGGGGAGAGAGAAATAGGCACTTATTTTATTTATTTATTTTTTAAAAGGATCTTAAATTTCACTGTAGGAAAGAACACGCAGTATGTCTCAGCCAAAAATTAATATGCAGAATTTAATGAAAGCTGAAGGGAAAAAAGCAAAGGTCTTAACTAGTTTTGTCTGTTGTGGTTTACCAATTTAGAGCAATATGTTTTCTTCAAAAAAATTTATGCCATGACTTCTGAGAGTGTAAATAACTTTCTAGAAAAGACTTGTTTCATACCCACTAAAATGAATATTGCCATGCTCCAAAAAGGATAAATGTGTACATCCAATTGTGTGTGTTTTTTATTTTTTAATAACCCTGTAGCTACGAGTACACCATGTAAGTAGAGCTTCAATCCTTTCCAGATTCAAGGTAAAAAAACAGCCAGAAGCAAAATTTGGCAGAAAGTACCTAGTTCATCTTACAGATATCCAAAGTGTAAATCTGGTTCAGAATATAGAAAAGTTGACCTAATATCTGCAAAAAGGGAGATTTTCAATCCCCCCCAGAAATTTTCACAGCTGTTTTACTACCCACGCAGGTCCATCAAATATACTGAACATGTGCGCACAGGCACAGAGAACAGTCTAAACTTCATTTGTAAATTGTCAATTCCCTCTCATTTCTCAGAAATAAAATCTATCCATATCATTAAATTACAAAAGATTCAATCAGGAGCAGCATATGATATATAACATACATTCAGATGTAGTATCATCTTTTCCACTGCTGGACCAGTACCAATGGGCTGTTCAACGCATGCCTTCAAATTATATCTGCTTTTTGTGTGTGTGGCTTTGTCTGTTGGACAAATTCCAGAAATCTCTCACCACATCTCTTTGTTAGACCTAAGGGCTATCAACCAACATTTCTCTTGAAGTTAGTTGCAAAAGAATCCAATCAAAATCTCAACATTCTACAGTGCAAAATAAAACTGTTGCTACTTTTGTTGCTGTCTTTCCCCAAACTGCCCATTTAAGTAATAAATATTTTTCATTTTCCTAATTAAATCTCTTCAACTTCAAGAGTAATAAATGAATAGTTCTGGTGTATTATCAATAAATATATTCAGATAGGTTTTTAAAACCATCCCAAGGAAGCAACCAAAGTAACAACACTCACTAAAGACTCGAATTTAGAAAAATAATACAATGTTAGAAACTTTTCTCTATTATGTGATTACAATCTCAGTTATGATTCCCAAAAGTAAGCTTGCTTGCCCTTTTTAACTATAGTGTTAACCTACATATCCACCCCAAGTTATGGATGCTTTGAAAGTTGTTTTCCTGATCTGTGCAATTAAATTTTCAATCTTAATGCTATCATAGCATTTCCATAGTATTTTTTGCATGTAAAAAAAAAGACTCCTAGAGACACCAAAATAGTCATGAGTACCTTTCAATCAAAGGTCTAAAAAGTGCTTTACCATTACAATCTATTTAATAGGTAGGCTAAGGCAGAGATTAAGTCCAATAAAGAGCCAGTTATAGAGGAACTTGGGAGACAGATTTCCAGGAACCAGGCTAGGAGATGCACTTCTTGGCTCCTGTTCTACTGTCTGATGACTAAACAATGCTTGTGGCTATCTGGAACATCTGACCTATGAGCTTGCCAAAGTAAGGGAAAGTAAAAAATTGTAACTTTCTGAAAATAATACAATCATATTGCTTAAAGAAAACACTTAAAATTGACAGGTTTCAGAGTAGCAGCCGTGTTAGTCTGTATCCGCAAAAAGAACAGGAGTACTTGTGGCACCTTAGAGACTAACAAATTTATTAGAGCATAAGCTTTCGTGGACTATAGCCCAACTTTTCGGAAGCATATGCGAACTGGGGTGTAGT